TCTGTCATAGCTTGTCCATGAACAGTTATATATTTGAGTCCCTCAGACCCAGCGTTGTCTCAATGGAAAAGACTTATGTACTAATGTTAAGCAAAAGCGGAGGAAATAAAGCCAACAGTATAGGCCTACACAAAAAACAGAGAACACAACTCAAAAACTCTTTTCCTTTAGTGTTAGTGTTAGTGGGGTTAGCCACGTTTCATGTCTTAATATTATGTTGAAGTAAAAAAAATAATTGTAACTATGCAAGACGGGAACAAGATAAAATGTGCGTTCTCTTTTATCAAAAGACAGAAAATCGTGACGTATGAATTTACATATTGGCACAGTGAAGGGCCGACTGTGATTTCTCTGGCTGTGCCTCTTCAACAGACCCACGTCTCTTCACACACGACTTGTAATATTAATTATCATGAATATTCCGCCTCATAATACAATGATATATTTTCTACCGTAAGCAATATTTATGCACCAGTAGAGTTAACATTCCATGATTGTTATTTACGGAGTTTCATCCTGTCATGTGATGGTGTGATCATGTGACCGTGTGATCATGTGACGTATTGCTGAGGACCCAACACTGCTGCCTTTATTTTTATTATTTTTTTTTTTTTAATGATTTGTGAGAAAAATGTTTTACAACAAACATATATATACATTTATATATGATACCTATATATAATATATATGTATTATATATATATATATATATACATATATATATATGTGTATATATATAATATATATATATTATATTGTATACTATATATTGCATGCAAATGATTTCCTTCCTGGTTTTTTTCTTCTTCTCTCAATAAGCAATAAAATTGTGCTGCTGTCTACTATATATACACCTAACACTTTCAATGCCTTAGCCCTTGTCTGTCAGCGGCTGTTGCTAAGAGAGATTGGGGAGAAAGAAAGGAAGGTGAAGGAACAGAGTGACCTACTGACCTACATAGGTGAAAGGTTTCCTTCTGGTCTCTTACAAGACACAGATTCTTCTCATGCATTCCAGTTTACATCTCGTCAGCCTGGGGTATTGTTCCGTCGAGGCGTCCCTTGTTGTGGTGGAAGTAAATTTAGAATGACGTTTTGTTGTTTTGTTGGCTGTGGCGGCCTTTCTCTA